CAATCTTCAAGGCATGCGAGTCCGTTGGTCAAGCACCCATATCTGTAAACAGGCAAACACCTCCAGCTGATAATCCAATGCACAAGGCCCATTAGATTTTTCAACAAATCACCCTGAACTCTGGCAGTAACCGTAAAGCAAAAAACAGAGCAGCATGCACAGAAGTGGACATATGGCCCATCAAACAGAGTATCAGGGTATCGTTATCGTCTTGCCCAATTCTCGTCCCTTTCAACCCCACCTCATCCCAGTTATGCCTCCCATCATACCACGAACGGCACTTCCCCACGGCACTTGCCCACAAGTGGTAAACTGAAACCTTGCCCTTGCACAAAGCAGCGAATGGCCCAGCGAGGTTGCCAGCTACGGGCACAAAGAAGCAGATGTGTGCACGCACGCACAAACTGAAAAGACAGAAAATTAACAACGAAAGAATTTGCAATGCACACGCGCATGCCAGAGCATGTGCACACACGTCTGCAGACATGCACACTTGCAGACGAACACAACACAATGCAAACACACAACATACACACACGCACACATAAACACTTCCACACCTGCACACGCACAGAGACACGTGCACAAACTGCACATCGCCACCCAAGACTCGGACCTGCACATGCTCATACACGTGCATACACACTAAACACAACAGAAACGACCATAGGTACACCGGCATACGCACATGGGCACACCACAATACACACGGATTCATAATGAGCAACCTAAACTCGACTTTGGACTGAACAACCTATGACACATAAAACACATAAAACATGATGCACACGCCGGCATACGCACACGGACACAGAATAAACAAGCACACGGCCTTTAATTTCATAATGAGCAAACTAGACTTGACTTAGGCCTGCACAACCAGGCTTTGACCTAGGCCAGACTTGACTTAGGCCTGCACAACCAGGCTTTGACCTAGGCCAGACTGCAACAGAAGAGGACCAATGAGGTGCAACGGAAAACAGCCAGAACAATACAGTAGGTTCGTATAGCACACCCAAGAGAACAGCAGAGGGAGATGGACACCAACACAACCAAAACACCTGGACATTTATCACCACTCGCTGCAAATGAACAATCATCACGACCCATGATGAGACAAGCCATAAGCACTCATGCTCCCCAATGTTCGCGTCGAACTTACCTTCGCAACCGAGTTCAAAGACGACAATGCACCACTTTCATCACGGCCATGCAGAGGGTTTGCACCTGGAGCAAACGGCTCCCCCTTGCGTCTCCCATCAGGTGTTGACCCAGTGTGCTTCCCATAAACCACATTACTTGTAATGGTCAACACTGACAATGTATGCTCCGCACCTCGGTACGAGGGGTGCTTCTGCAATTTCTTGATGAACGAGCTCACCAGATCACTTGCAAACTGATCGACTTCCTCAATATCATTGCCATACTTGGGGAAATCGCCTTCAATCCTGCGTTCCATTTTACAGCAGTACAACCAACGACCAGTATAAAAATTCCACAATGCACCAAGGTCAGCACATTGGAGCGGTAAGCGACCTTATTAGAACACCAACACACATTGCACAATCACACAACACGGATCAGAAAGAAAAACTGCAACTGAACAACTACCAGTAACTGTTTTATTCGGTGGGCCGGTTCTACCTTCACCTCAATGACCACAGACAACACTCTAATGCTTTGAAAGAGCACGACCCCTGGTACTACTGTATTTCTACTTTTATCAGGATTCCATCATTGACAAATGATCTGTTCACTAACAGTGTGACAAAAAACAAGGGGTAACCCCTCGTATTAATGTATTCATCCAACATCAGCAATCGCACAAATGAGGGGCTCAGAGTCGCTTCAAATCAACAGCAGTTCCAAATTTACTTCAATCTGCAAAGATGGTATGACCGAAGAATTACTCACTTGAAATCAACAGCCATTCCATTCTCATCACGGATAGGAGTGACTTTGGCATGTTTAATAGCAGAAAGCGAGTCCGCTGCAACACTCAAACCGGCGACACCGAATGCGAGGGTGCGATGCACATCCGTGTCATGAAGGGCCATCTGAAAACAGCATCACGCAGCACCACCTTCAAACATTAGCAACTCGTAGGATTTACCACAGCACCCACGCACCAGGCTCAATCCAATCCACTGCACACACAAACCGCGACTCGAGAAGATGCCTCCTCCCTAGTGACTGAATAATGGTCCCTGTCAAGAATTGACCTAGTTAGTTCATAGGTTGTGGTCAAAATAGCGCACTCGCGAGTGGCACTACCTACATCAAAAGCAATGAGCCGCGACTGACGCAAGTCAGACCGGTTTAGACATCTGGCTACAGGCAGGACACCGTAGTTCCACACTAAAAGACACACAGCTCAGCCTTTCTGAACGATAAGGGCAATGGACAGTGGATCACGAGCTGGAGGGGAGTTCACCCTGCTACTGCAGCACAGCGTACAGCCTTAATCATCTGATTACGGGCTTGACACTCGCATAGAGCAAACGGGACAGCCTTAAACATCTGATTTCAGGCTCAACAATGGAACAAAGAATCGTATAACCATGGCATAGACTGAAAATCAACGAACCAAACAAATTTAGAAACATTCGCCTGCCAGGATAAATAAAAACGTCGCCATCCAAAAGCCTAAACATCTGATTGCAGGCTTAACAGTGCCACAGAGCAAAGCAGACAGCCTTAAACATCCGATTAGAGGATCAACAACGGAACAACGAATCAGAAACGATGGCAAAGACTGAAAAATCAGCGAACCAAACAAATTCAGAAACATTTCACTGCTGCAGTGATCTATACCTCGCTGATGGGAAACTCACAAAATTCTCCTGACCACGAAGAGAAACAGTAAAGAGAAACGGAACACAAAACAAAGACATTCGACAACCAATCCAATTTTAAACCATAGACCAAGCAGCCATGCAAGCTGCAAAAACCAAAACCACGCAGCGAAACGAGTTTGGCCCTTCGCGAACCTCAGGAACGTTACTTGCCTGCAGCCGTTCGTAGTTGTACTTGTCATGCATATAATGAATGCAGTTCATCGTGTTAACATAGACACCCGCTAGCCACTCCATCGCTTCATCGTATCGCTTCATCACTTCGTCAAAGACAAGAGGTCCATCCGAGAGTGGAGCAAACTTTGGACCAACCTGCCCAACAAGTCGCCCACGCAACATCATTACAAACGTTTTACAGTATGAGCCGGCTCATATTCACATCAACCTTCACATTATGCCAAAACATTCGCTTGCAATTCTACGGCCAGGACCATAATACGAATCGAGTACCAAACAAGTTGAAGGGACCAGATGATAAATATCGACTAGAGACTGCTGAGAACACTGCCCTGTACCATACACAAGCACTCTCACTCCGCAGCCCACACGATACGCATTAACATGCGGTACACAGTGTACTGCATTACGTATCCATGATACGCATAACATGCGGTACGCAGTGTACTGCATTGCGTATCCACATATTGACATGCCATGCCATGTTATCGAGGAGAAATTCATCGCCCCATAACCTCCCCTCGTAGAATCCGAACATATGCAAATCTCCATAACATACAGACAACTAACTCAGTCGGTATTCGAATACTCCACTGCTGTCCACCGCAATGCATCGGGGACTCTAAAATCACCCCCAATACAGAACATAAACCGTACCTGCTGCATCCTGCTGCAAAAAGATTGCCAACGAAGTTGACCTGCCGGATTGCCTTGGGGGCCTCTATTAGTGAGCTTGCGAGGTAATCCCTACTACAGAACGCTAGTATCTCAGAGCCGACCCCGGTTTACAGTCGACAACACCATCACCAGAAATTCCACCAACGACCACACAAAGGAATAACGTCCCGGGCACTTGTGGATTCGTGGCTCGCATATTACACCAAATCGCCAGAAAGATACGCTTTCAATCAAAGTCACTACGTTGTAATGGCAAGGCTTAAGAGACCGGAAAATAGTCTGATCACGTTTTCACATTTTTCAACTGTAAATGGAACATAGTCTGATCACGTTTTCACATTTTTCAACTGTAAATGGTTTCATTTTAATCAGAGGCGCGCGCTTCGCGAAACGACGAAAAACCTACCTGCTTCCCAGATACCTCGTCCTTCCCGCCGTTAAGCGCATACAACAGCAGCTTGGGCAAGTTGCAACGAGCTCCAAAGAACTGCATCATCTTCCCAGTTGTCATTGCACTGACACAACAAGCAATGGCGTTGTCCGCGCCGAACCTTTCCCTCATCAGATCATCGTTCATATACTGGCATACACCCAACCCCATCCACACACCACATCCGCACAGAAACAAAACGACAAATAACGTAAGCAGCGGAGCACGTCGAATACCCCCCTAGGTCACACAGGTGACCTTCAGCTCACACTTTCCCAATTGTTGACAATGAATGGCACCTGTGCCATTTCTCCCAGTTATGGCAACCTAGAGACTGAGCATCCCAATTGCACTACTCCCTTGGGAAAACTCGCTTTTTGAGGCAGCAAGTGCCATACTCTACTTCAATGCATCACCACCTTCTCCCATAGCATAAATACAGTCGCCTTGGTTTCAACGCCTGTCATCTTCCTGTCGGCAAAAAGTTAATAAAATATAATCATCCCAATCAAGATAGGACGCCTGGGTATCTTCGGTCAGTTGAATTTTTTAACTCTTGTCTTTTGTTCTCCTGTCGGCAAGAAGTTCATAAAATATAATCATCCCAATCAAAATAGGACGCCTGCAGTGGGTGTCTTCGGTCAGTCGAATTTTTTAACTTTTGTCTTATATATTCTAAGAACTCGCAAGGAATTTACCCTGACTAGTGCCCCTCTTATGATTCACAACTGGATTGCTTTATTTTTTTCTTTTTCAAAAAATTCAACCTTTAATCCTTTTCTTCGAATTTCCTTTTCAAGCAGTTCGTTAAATTTGGTGTCTCCAACCACACAACGGACTTGCACCGCTGGCTCTCTCGGTGTAAACGGACGCACTCTACCAACTGAGGTAATTACCCAAATGTGTTATTACCAATCCAAAGCGCCCTTCTTTCATTCATAAACAAAACCAATATTCAAAATCAGTAGAAAGACCGCCATAGACCGAATCCAAACAATTCCATTTTATTGAAAGAAACTGCCCCCAAAACTGTGTTATTGGAGGCACAGACTACGGCATATAAATGCAGCACCAGCGTCTCCCATAAAATAAATAGACCAAGCTCACTTACAATACACCTCAGTTTCAACGCCTATAGCCTTCAATCGACACGACGATCAGACAATATCATCATCCCAAGCAAGATAGGATGCCTTGGTGTGGAATGATTTTGTTAAAAGCACCAAATATTGTCTACTATACGGAATTCTATTTCTATAAAACCGAATATAATATAAATAAGTGGACTGTGAACACTAGTTTACATATACGTACGTCAGTGTAACAAAATCGTAAGCATATTGCACGAGTTTCTGACACCCCTCTCCACTGGATCTGATTAAGTCTTCCATAGGTTAGCCAATTGCCGGTTTGAAGAGCGGAAGCTCCGATCGCCTCACCGCTGCGTCTTCGACGACGAGATTCCGTGTCGAATTTGACTTTGCGGTGTCTAATTGTTATCATTTTCATTTACTTCATGGAACTTCATTTCCATTTACTTCATTTGCATTTACATCATTTTCATTCATTTTCATTCACTTCATTTTCATTTACTTCATCACATTGGACTTACGCTTTCACTAGGCTAAGTGTACTAAAAAGATAAGTATTTTGTTGTCATTTTCATTTACATCATTTTCATTTACTTCATCACATTTCACTTAGGCTTTCACTAGTGCAATAAAAAAATAAGTATTTTAGGTACATGCGTCCGTGGGAAAGACAGCGAGAGACAAAAGACCACCTGGAGAACACGAATCTTTCTCAACGCAATACTACTCACTTGAATGCTTGACAAATCCAGGGAGATTTTACTGCAATAGTCCTTGAATGGCTGAGGCAGATGAGGAGACCATAGAACCGTGAGATTCGGCTCCGGTGCCGGTCCGAGATTTCTCAACGTGTGAAGCAGCCGATACGACGTCTTGGTCACCATGTGCATTGGTTTCCCACCAACTTCCACACCGTCGGCCGCCATGCCAGCAATAACAGCAGTAACCCATGTCGGATCACCAGCGAACAGTGAGTTGTACTCCGGAGTTCTCAGGTGACGGACAAGCCTTAGCTGCACCCACCCACGCATCCACAATAAACGCGTATTGGAAAGGATACACAAAAATTGATCATCCTCAACCGCGAGGGTACTTTCACAACAGTATCCGACAACAACTAACACAAGATGGAACCTTCCCGAATTGCAAAATATGCACAACCTGCGGACCCGTATAGAAAGCCAGATGAAAAAACAGGTGCATTAATTCAAATTGCGTAACCTGCGCACTTAAACGCCATCCCAAGTAGAAACGGATGACCAAAAAGAAACAACGTACGACAGAAAAAAAAAAACTCATTGCCGAGGCATTCAGACTACCTCCGTAAAGGTGCACGAAACGTATGTGCAACGCTTACAGATTCAAACCTCATCAACAGCTTACAACTGCCACACGAACACAGTCAGACTGTCCCAAGCCTCTCACAATACCCGGATGACGACAATGATAAATACCTTGATCACAAAGTCGTCAATCAGTTCTTGTGCCTTCTCCTCCGTGAGGGTGCCATTCGCTATGTCCCGCTCGATGAACGTGTCCAAAAACGCATCTACTCTACCAAGGGACATCGCTGCCCCGTCTTGTTCCTTGATAGCCCCCAAATATCTGTATGTGATTACACAGTGATACCAGCCCAAGACGATAAGTCATCCATTGAAACCGACATCCACAACGCCAGCAAGCACATAAAAACAACGCTAAAAGGAACCCATCCAGAGGAAGCAACACAAAAGAGAAGCAACCATGAACCAGTTGCCAACACGGCCTACCTGAGAGGCCAACCCACACAAGATGCCCGAGGCACCATATTGGCACACACGACACAGTCACCACCTCAGGGTCCTCACCCTACCTGATAAGCCAACGCGCACAGGATGCCCCCAGTTACTACGATTTACTACAATTTGTCCAAGTTACATGCGGGCACCTAAGTCATATAACAATTTATCCCAGTTATTAGCGATTTATCCAAGTTATTAACAATTTCTCCCAGTTATAACGATTTATCCCAGTTATTAACGATTTATCCCAGTTATTAACGATTTATCCCAGTTATTAACGATTTCTCCAAGTTAAATGCGGGCACCGAGGTGTAACAACAGAGTGGCTCTAGGGACCAGGGTATCGCAGTAGTAGCTCAAACAATTTGCATGCACTCCCAACTGCGAAAAATCGAGTCCTGTCAAGTGGCCCATTCAGTCCAACTTCATAAAAACCCCGTTCAATCCACCATGAAAAGGGTAACTACTCACACAAGGCTGACCTGTTTTTTCTTAACTAGGCACATTCCCATCCGCCAACGCAACCAACCGCGATTTCCCTGCATGAAAGGCGGTCAGGTGTCTGCACACAGCTACTAATTGAAGGCAGCGATTTCCCTGCATGAAAGGCGGTCAGGTGTCTGCACACAGCTACTAATTAAAGGCAGTCACAAGACTCACAACCAGACATTCAACCCGACCGTCACAAATCGTTTCTGATGAACCATCACGCGCACAGCATTTTGCGATCATGGGGGTTAATCAAATTCCATCTAATAATTCATTCATGAGACAACACCTTGCACAACATACGGAAAACTGCCTACAACTTCTTTCTACAGGGTAAAAGATACTCACCCGAAGTAGAGCCACTGAATTGCCTCCCGGGCATTTTGCGCTGGCTTCCCAATATCATAGCCATATTGCTTCGCCATCTCCTTAAGCTCCTTCAGTGCCTTTATTTGCTCTGACACCTGCATGTCCGAAATTACTTCATTTCAGTGATCACGAGGGGGAACGAGACGTTTGATATAAACATGAAAGGCAAAGACACCGTACACCAATGAACCACGGTCACAGCTTACCCTCCCACAAAACATCGACTGAGAAAGCAGACGACGTCCGAGCAACCACAGACAGACTACCCTGTTTGAGCCCCGGGGCACGAAGGCAAACATTCGGATAGTAACAAAGAACAGAGAACAGCATCAACGGCGCAGGATCGGGAGGACAAATCGCGGGAAGGCATAGCGATAAGAGGATGTCGGCGCTGAAATAGACGATCAACGCGATGACCAGGCACAATTGAGACACGAACGAATGCACCAGCGACGGAAAGCATAAGCCTGCTGCACATACAACCCGCTGCTTGACAACAGTACACATACCTCCTCCCTCAGACGAATTACATCTTCTGTCATAGGATGACCGAGCGCCGCCTTGTCCATCTGTTTCCCCTTGATAAGAGCATCAACGCCGTACAGCGCCACGCGCCTGTAGTCTCCAATGATACGTCCACGACCATAAGCGTCGGGAAGACCCGTCAGAATGCCCTCGTGCCTCGCGATCTTCATCTCCGACGAGTACGCATCAAACACACCTGCATTGTGCGTCTTAACGTATTTCCTGCAGAACGCCACAGCCACACCCCACTATCACTACAGCTCTATGATTTAATAACCGCAGACAAAACAATGTAACAGGCCTAAATGCACACATATTCGATAGTACATACGCCACAGCCGCACCCTACTATCACTATACCTCTGATTTAATAAGCGCAGGAAAGACACGCAACGTGACAGGCCCAAATGCACACATTCGACAGTTCATAACCGCTGACAAACAGCGATGCTGGCGTTGGTCAACCTCTTCGCGACGAATGAAGGGATACCTTCATCGACACCTCTCACAAAACGGGGAACTCTGACGAACTGTTCCATCGATCTATTAACAATTTATCAAGCAGTTATCCTGGATAGTCTATCATCTCCTACAAGCCAGGCGTTGGTCAACCTCTTCGCGACGAATGAAGGGATACCTTCATCGACACCTCTCACAAAACGGGGAACTCTGACGAACTGTTCCATCGATCTATTAACAATTTATCAAGCAGTTATCCTGGATAGTCTATCATCTCCTACAAGCCAGAGAACACCCCAAACAGATCTACGTCACATTGGCAAATGCACTCAGACAAATCACAGCCGACAGAGAACGAGCTATGGCCGTCCATCTAAATTGACGGAATGAACATCAGGTACACGGATGAATCCAAATTGACGTATGGAATGAACATCAGGTACACGGATGAATCCAACAACAAAACTGCAATCGCAATGATAATTCTCAAAAACAGTAATCTCCGTCCTCATTCCGTTACTCCTTCGCGAGACTTGGTAGCATCAATTAAAAAACGAAATGAAATTTTCAGATATGGTATCATCGGGTATGCGCAGCGGAGATGATCAACGTTGTTGATTCACGCATGGATGGGAAATACAACTCAACAAAACGTGCATCAGGCCCGCACCTTAATTTCTGTCAAGTCAGGTGAGCAAGATTCCAGGATGAAAACCTCCCACGCAAACCTTGCAAACTACACGTCCTTAAGAATGTTAAACGACCGCCACCCGCCCAAATCCGCAAAATGTGAATGCATCTTCCGATAAACCACAGAGCAATACACCTCCATAATGTCTTTTTCGAGCATTTCGTGAGCCGTGCGGCGAAAAGCCCTTTATCTGAGTACCACAAGCATAATAAAAAACCCTGCATTCCAAAGATTGCAGCAGGCTCAATCCTAGCAATCACGTTCCCTACTTCTGTATGGTCATCTGTAATTAAGACTCCATCACAATATTCCTGTACTTCTCTAAACCAGTGCGCATCATGTTTGCAATTAAGTCGCACCATCTACATCGTTGACTAGTTGCTGTAAAGTAGCGGATCCCGATCGAGCACACACCATAAAACAGAAACCCGGGAAAGAGAGGTAACTCGACATACCAACATCCTTGGCACTTTCTGTACTATCCCAATACACAGATGAAGGGTCTATCTGCAATCAAGCAGACACCAAGAGACGTACAAAAACTAAAAAACACAAAAGGGCATGTGCTCCAAAACTAAAAACCACAAAAGGATGTGCTCCTGTACTATCCCAATACGCAGATGGGAGGGTCTATCGCAATCGAGCACACACCAAGAAACATACAAAAACAAAACACAAAAGGGCATGTGCTCCTCAGAACCAACTAATCAGTCCATGCGTAGTTGACGAAATGTGCTCCTCAGAACCAACTAATCAGTCCATGCGTAGTTGACGAAAACAGATATCTAGCCCAACGTTGTAAGCACCGACCTCACCCCTCCCAGCAACATTCGGATCTTCACATTCCACTACCTGCTACCGCTGGTACTGGCTCCTACAAACCCAAAAAACTTAAGACGCCCTTCCTCGAATCTAAGCCCGTCCGAGCGATGCTGTGAGGAAAGACCCAGGAATTTTGCTTCAATAACATACGCACACGGATCATAGAAGAGAATCAGCTCGACCTCATCCCAATTAGTGGCAGCACTACTAACAGAATCATACACATTTAAATATTGGCAATTCTGAAAGCATACACAAAGAGATGAAATATTTTTTCGTAAATATTATTTTCTACAGGAGATGTACATTGGCATTGCCACCTCCATAATGCTGCTCTATCCGGGTCTCTCGACGTGTACCCATCGCCTGTCACTGACACGCGGCGGCGAAAAAAGGGATGACACAACTGAAATACTTTATTATTATCCAGTCACACCCTAAACATCCACTCAACGCCGTATATTCATTTCAATTTCCAACGCTCAATCCACTCAACGCTATATACCCAATTCAATTCCCAACGCTCATCCCCTAACAGAAATCCGCAAATAGATCACTGGATAATAAACCACATCAAAGACTACGCGACAGCATGTCCGCGCTCCAGGTGTAACCTTTCCCGATAGACCTCCGCAGGTCAAAGGGGTGAAAAGCCATGTCGCGTTGCACATGCGGTGTCGTTTCCCATCCAATGCCACCGCCCTACGCACATCCTCTCGGAAAAATCTACTCGAAGTCTGTCCGTTAGCTGCTTCAAGCCAAATTGCACAAAACACTAGCTGCTCCCTACTTTGTATCTTCTATTTATCTATTTAATTAGATGGATTAATTCTTATATTTCTTTATTAATGAATATAGAAAGTAAATTTTCAATATCATCGAGTCAATCAACTTAGAAAAAAGAAAATTATATTAATTATAAATAACTTAACTTCCGTTAGCTGCTTCAAGCCAAATTGCATAAACCACTAGCTGCTCCAAGCCAAATTGCACAAACACCATGTAATGCGCCCTTCTCCTAAATCCTCACCCGAACAAGGCTGCTTCGCTTCTTGTGCTAAGCAGATACATCTCAGAGATCAGGCAGGATCCCGAGACACTACAATCAATCACCTGCCAATCGTATTCGCCGCCGGTCTGCCACGTGTTCCCGACGCTCTACTGAACATCACGAAGTCTTGCGTGCTTCACAATAGAACACAACTGCCGCCCGATTGCTGCTCTCATTACAACCCCTCCCTCGGAGCCCCTCCTAAGAAGAGAACTGAGCGATTTCGCTAAGTACGTCAGCCCGTGTAGTGCTCTCCCGCTCACTTCGGGAACTCGCATCACTGGGGCCGAACACAGGCTAACATCCAATTGTGCCCTTCCCCGCAATCACTAAACACTGAAATGTACAGGGCACTCTCAGCAGTAATGATCTCCTTCCACGAAGTTGTGTTCCTTCACAGGTAACAACACCTAACTAATGGCGCAACACTTGTCACATAGAACCGCACAACTAACGCTGGCTAATGACTTAGACATTGCATCAGCAGCGATATCACTGTTCCTGCCCACTGCAAACATACGTCATTACCAGGCGCTTCCCTTTCCCTGATAGATCGCCCGATGAATAAACGCTCCTCCTGCAACTGAATTTCCTACACAGATATCGCACATAATACGTTCCAGAGAACAAGGACCGCGACGGAACTTCCAGAATAAATTCCGATACGATTCATAAATACCCAGACCGCTAACCAATAGCCCATATATGCACGGTTCGTAAGCCTATATATAGGCACTATGAACCCCACCCGCAAATCCTACACGCTCAGCAGTGCGATTTGCGCTTCACTGCTACGGGACATTCGGTCCCAGAATAGGATTCCTTGAACGCTTTCCCTCACCATTCCTCGGCGGGCTGAAGAGTAGCAGCTGCTCAGTACCGGACTGCTGCCGAAAACGCCAACGACGCTTTACCCGTTAACGTTTTCAATTTGAGCATCAAGGACATGAATTTGAGCATCAAGGACATGAATTTCTCCACACACTACAGTTATATCGACAGCCATATCGCACAGCTACACATTCTCCGCAACGTCAGCTAACGACTACTTCCCGCCTCTCCCGCGCGTAAAACATATAAACTTTAGATCGCCAAGCCACAACTTCACTTCGACCCACGCAAGGTTATGGGAGAGCTTCTGACAGTTTGCGCGAGAATGGCACAAAGAACCGAACTGCCCACCACTAAACGACCGATCGACCGGGGAACCGCGATCTTTCACTTTCAGGAGGGACTCGTGCACACTAGCGCGCACTCGCGGACACTAACACGCACCAACTCTTTCCTGGGCCTAGGTCCCACTTACAGGAATTAAGAGATATTGACCGTAGATAGCACAGATCAACGGTCAGAATCTCGTAATCCGTGCAAGTGGGACCTTGCCCCTGGAGCTCCACTGCGAAAAAAATCGCAGTCTTCTTTATTATACTGCGAGACTCACAAGAGCGAAAAAAATCAATCACGCAACTGATTACAGGCGGTGCTACCCATGTTCGACCGCTTTCGATTCCCTACGACAACGGAAGAAGGAGAAAACAACCACGGGGTTAAGGGTCAAAAGGAAACAAAAACCGAAACGAGTTTCGACATGCAAAACAAAAATGAGCAAACGAGCAACTCACGTGAAAATCTCCTTCACACGCTCGTCAATAGGAAATCCATAGCTGGCAAGCGCGGACTCCACCATCCTCCAGCCACCCTTCGGCTTGATCATCCTCTTCAGAGGTGCATCCGTCTGGAAGCCAACGATGAGATCGAGTTCTTTGTCAATGTAACCAGGGCCATGGGACAGAATACTTCCGGGAGTCGAGGGGTCGCAATCAAGCACACCTTTCTTATGCTCCTCCTTGAGTAGTTCCAAACACTTCTCCCACACTTGGCGAGTCCGAGAAGTTGCGGGCGCCAGGAAACTGCCGTCACCTTCATAGGCCTTGAAATTCTGCTGAATGAAATTGGCCACATCAGCACTCGATGCCAGTTCGTGATCTTCGGCCACGTCCTGAGCAGGAGGCGCTTCCACAGCAACTCTCGCTCTGACAGGATTAGCCGTACCTATCGAAGAGTACTGACGAACTCCAGCAACGGATGACGTTCTCACAACCGAGAGTGGCAATGGCGGCACAGGGCCAAGAGCGGATTGCCTTGACACGGTGAAAAGCGACGTGGCAGCTGCACACATAGGGGCAATTCGAGCGACAACACCACTGAAGCCCTCTGCTGTCGCACCCGCTGGCGAATTGAGGACCATCGCAAGCCTTCTGGCCCCCATGGTAGACAAGGAGGGGGGCCTTCTCAGCGCTCGATACAAACTCTGCGACATGGTTTCCTTCGCGACCCGATCGCACGTCTCGCCCCCAAGCAAACGTAAGTCAACTACAGACGGATGAACAACCACGTTCGCCAGCTTCACCGTAAATAGCACAAACGTAAGATAGATATGTATGTATATATCTATGTACGAAGTAGAATCCCCGCCTCTCGTCGACAACCTGTTTCTCCCCTCTGGCTAGACGACAAGGAAGGATTATAGACCAGAAGCCACCAATCCGTCCGTGGCTCATACACGCTCAGTTATCACGACGAATCGTCATCGTCAGCCGCTCTTCTTACTTACACAGATCTGTCGGACCCAGCACCGTCGATGTTATCAAGGATACTACTGGGCCCCACGCACACTGTCCAAGCTCTCTCCCACTACTTGCCCTTCACAGGCCCTTTACTAACCACGCTGCACAACGTGTGTGATGAGAGATCATTTATTTATTGCATGCCTCTACGGTCAAACGATTTGCGACCTATAGCGATCGATAACCACCCCTCAATAGAGCCCGCTAGTCCTCGATCCCCTACATCGAGAGTTGACAGCATGGAACCCAGTTTGCGGTGGATGGTAGCCGTCGCTGTAGAGGGTTGCCGATTTGCGCTTTGCATCCGTCCGATCACAACTGGTAAGCCGTTGAGTGCAGCGTGCGGCGCCTTCAAGTGTGACAGGGAGGTCAGGGTGTGCTTTCAAGCGTGATTGGGACGCCAGTGTGCGCACAACCTTTGCCCCCTCTGCTCACATGTGCCACATGGACGGTTGGAGCGAAAAGTGAAAAGTGCGCGCCAGTGCGTACACCGCTGCCAGGTCTGCGCGGCGAGCGCGTCACCACCGTAAAGCATTTTTTCTAGACTAGATACTATGCCGACGAGGCTCAACTTCGCTGACGCGATCAAAAGAAAAGGGCGCCAGATCGATGACACGAGGGGCGAAGGGGAAACCGAACTGCCATTTCCAAGCCAAGGCCTTTTCGTCACCCGTGCCAAATGGCCCACCTAAACCGTGATGTCATTCGTTTTTCAGGAAACTTACCATATGCCCCTGAAAGTGCAATTTACTTGCGTTGCGCCACTCCGACGGCCAGCTTACCCTGTCGTGCACCAGGGGCCTCTGAACTTTCCTGCAGGCCCCGTCAGTGAGAGGTGCAAGTTTCCAGCGTGCCCCTGCGGCCGTTTCCCCGGCTTTGCAAGGGGAGCTACCGGGCATACTGGAAATTTGGAACCGGTAGGGCCATATTGTATTGAAAATATTACAGGCACAAATGACGCCAGGGGTTATTTGGAAACTTCAATCGTTGTTCGCAGCCCATCAGGGTTTCGCTTTCCCCCCTGAGACATTTTCCCCACGAGACATTTTCTTCGTCCTTGGTTATACCTGTCGTTGATTCGGGCTCGATTCGGGTCGGGCTCGTTTGGTCGTTGCAGGCCGGTGCAGGCACCACACTTTGGGGGGGGATGGCAGTTTCTCTGAAAAATGCGGGACCGGTAACTGCCTGTGGGGCCACACGCTGGGTTTTGGTCGAGACGGTGGCAAAGTAGCGGCAGGGTGGATCTTTGGGTGGTGGTGGCAGTTTCTTTGAAAAATGGGGGACCGGTAGCTACTCATGGGAGCTCGCGGTGGGTTTTGGTCGAAATGGTGGCAAAGCAGCGACAGGGTGGAAAAGTGGAAAAGTTTGCAGCCCGTCAGGGGTGCATTTTCCCCCCCGGAGATATTTCCCCCCTAGACAATTTTCGTTGTCCTTCGTTATACCGGTTGTTGATTCGTGCTCGTTTGGTCGTTGGAAGGTTCGAAAAATGCAGGCAGATGAAGGCACGACATTTTGCGGGGTGGTGGCAGTTTCTTTGAAAAATGCGGGACCGGTAGCTGTCCGTGGGACCGCGCGCTGGGTTTTGGTCGAAACGGTGGCAAAGCAGCGGCAGGGTGGATCTTTGGGGGGGGGGGGCAGTTTTTTTGAAGAATGTGGGACCGGTAGCTGTCATTGGACCGCACGCTGGGTTTTGGTCGAAACGGTGGCAAGGCAGCGGCCGAGTGGAAAAGTGGAAAAGTTTGAATTGGAAAGGGCGCAACCTTGGCTGTCGGTTGAAACGACACACCTGCATTGCATTTGCAAGTGCAAACAAATGTGTCTGAAAGTAGATTTATTCAACGCCCCACACATTCAGGGCCCGATTGAGTGAGTCACATGTGACAAAACAATTTTATTTAATTAAAAAAAAAAAAACTTCCAACAACAAACACTCAAACACACACATATACAACATATGGACCAAGATTCAAGGGTCACCAGCCTCGACACCAACTATGAATCAAGGTATGTCAAATATCTAATACATTAATACCATACAAAGTACCTAAATCCCACACATTCTAACACTAACAAATGTGATAAACGCAAACACCCTAAGTATCACACAAACATACACACACTAATCTTGCCACATACACACAAATATGTGCAAATTCAAGGGTCAATAGGTCTCCAGCTTCACGCAGCAATCGGAGTCCATCCTCTGTGAACAGGAACAGGAAGGAAGAAAAAAAAAAAAAAACACTTGAAATAAACAACCCTACGCTAAACTGAGGAACTGTTTTTAGACGCCTCCATCGCAGCCTACAACAACCACTTTGAACCTCCATGATGATATGAAGTGCGTGAAGCATCTAAGACCGCTATCAGGTCCCTCGATGCAACCCTACAATACCCGTCTGAAGTTGCGGCGATGACCTAAAGTGTTTAAAGTTTTTGAAACTTGTTTCATGTCCCTCTATCTAAGCATCAAAGATTGGTCCAAAACAGTTGTACCAATTTGAAACCATAGGGAATGCAAGGGGACATGAAAATATATATATCTATGGCAACCTCTCGTGCGATCCGGAGCTAAATAGAAAAATCACAATGTACACGAACCTGCTTACAAAAACGACTCGGGGTATGTTGAATAGATCGTGTGAAGGATTGTTCTATAGAGAGTTGAGTTAAACTTCATCTACACACGAATGCACGGGCCATATGTTCACACCGGGCACATTTCTTACAAAGTATGAACCGGGACTATATTTCGGTTGCTATTCCTAGCACAAAAAAGGTTGCCCAAAGGAAGCGATCAAACTCTCACGAGCACCGTGTTGTTACTACCTCGGATCAGCGTTCTTACGCGGGGATCCTCGGGGCCCAAGCCGAGGTAGTGGTTTCAGCCCCGGACCCTGCCGCGGGGCTACCCAACCCCCGCCCTCGCCAAAACACGCCCGCCCCTGCCCCAACCCC